CTGACAGGGCTCAGGAAACCATATGCGATGCCAGTGATCAAACCCAGGTCGACTGCATGTAAGACATGCATATTACTCACCATAATATTGCTCTGGCCCCACAGTTTTTAAAGACATAGGCAAGATGTTGCTGAAATTCATATGGAGCAATAAAATCCACCCCCACCCTTACCCTCCACATAGCCAAAGTAATTCTAAGAAAAAAGAAGATAGACTTTTCTTCTCTCAACGTTAAATTGTACAATAAGGACATTTTATTTTATTTTATTTTTAATGTATTTTTATTAGTGAAACACCATGAGGTACAGTTGTAGACTTTCAAATTTTTGTTCTTGGGTTTTGATTATACAGTGATCAAATACCCATCCCTCCACCAGTGCCCATTTCCCACCACCACGGATCCCAGTATCCCTCCCATCCCCCATTCCCCCATCCCACCCTGCCTTTGTAGCAGGGCATTCCCTTTTGTTCTCTCTCTCCTTTCGGGTGTTGTGGTCTGCAAAAGAGGCATTGAGTGGCAATCATGTTCGGTCCATAGTCTACTTTCAACATGCATCTCCCATCCTGGGAGGATCCTCCCAACACCCTTTACTTGGTGGTCCCTTCTCTCTCTGAGCTGCCCCTTCCCCTAAAATGCCTGACTGGCCTCTAGGCCATGGAGTAATCCTCCTGGTACTGATCTCGGCTATTCTTGGGTATTAATCTCCTATTTTGTTACTTTATGTAATAAGGCCATTTTAACCAAGACAATGTGGTACTGGAATAAGGATGGACTTTCAGATCAATGGGCTATCCATTGAGAGCCCAGAGATTATAGACCCATAGTCTGTGATCATCTAATCTTTGACAAAGGAAGTAAGAGCATGGAAAGAATGAAGAAAAGCCTCTTCAGTAAATGGTACTGGAAAAACTGGTCAGTCACGTGTGAAAAAAGGAACCAGATATCTGGTTATCAAAGGCCTCTTTATCACTATATTCTTGTGCTGTGCCCATAAATTCAACTCAAAATCATTTCAGATGTTGGAAAGGATGTACATATATACTGGCGAATATATATATATATACACATATATATATGTTGTATATATATAAAGGATGTATATATACTGTATATTTATAAGAAAAACAGCATTATAAATTTACTAATTACAAATACCCTGCTAAATATAAAGTCTGATTTGAATCTTGAACATGATATACACAATTGCCCTTATGGACTATATACTGAGGAATTTTTATTCTACTTGGGAACAGTAAAAATCCTCACAAGTGCATAATTCTAATCCAACGGCAGCCTATGCACTCACACAGCCTATAAAGTCACTTAATGGTCCCCTTTACCATGTGATTATTTTGCCCTTGTGAGACACTTGAACCACAATTCTGTGGTTCTGTATAGAACCATTTAACTTTGTTTAGAGATGTAATTAACTAGAAGAGTAAATGTATTTTAAGACTATTTAGACTCTGTTGCAGAATTGTACCATTTGTCTAAACTCTACAAGATGGAATGTTTCTTAATATAGGGTTTGTATTTGGCCTAGAATTGGAAAACTGAGGGTACCAAGTAAGAGAATGTGGGAGAAAGAGGAGTAAAAATAACATGAAGACAGTAGTGGAGGGTGTCAGCACTTTTGGGGTGGTGAGGTGTGACAACTGTACATCAACACTATAAACATTAGCACGATTATAGTATGTCACTTTAACAACAACAATAACAGCAGCAGCAACAACAATAATAATACAGGGTTTGTAATGTCAAATTAAGGTGAGTCAGGTAAGCGAACTCAATTTGACATTTAACTCAGTTCCGACCCAAACAAACACTAGTCCGTGAGTAATTTCTCAGGAAGGTCATGGGGGTACAGTGATCCTGTTTTTAGACTCTAAACTGTTCAGAATCTGATCATTTTCTCTTGCTTTGTTTTGTTGATGGGTTGATTTCTTCATCTCTCACATGTAAGTGAAATGAGACTGTTTATCTTTCTCCCTCTGACCTACTTCACTAAGCATAATATTTGTTTTGTTGTTTTGTTGGTTTGGGGTCACTGGCCTTGCTCATGGCTTACTCCTGGCTTTGCACTCAAGTGTCATGGAGTGCTCAGTGGATCCTCTGTGGTGTCAGGGTCCAACCTGGGTGAGCCAGGCCCCTGCCTACTGTGTCAATCGCTCCTGCCCAGATGCATAATATTCCTACATCCATCCATTTTGTTGGCAAGTGGCACTATTTCATCATTTAACTAGGTGAGGAATACTGCATTTTGCATGTATTCCTTAAGTGTCTCAGTTTCTGCCTTGGAAAATATAGATAAAAGCACACCCTCCGTTGTTCAAGGATAAAATGGGTTACATTGTTAAGCATCTAGAGTTGAGCCTGGTGCACAATTAAGTTACCAATAAAAGAAACTTAGGGACTGAAGCCTTAAAAAAAATGCCTGACTTAGAAAACTCTTGAGCTTATTCGCCAATGTGGTTTAGCGCATGCCTCAGGCAACCACAAGCAAATGTCCAAGCTCGCAAAGCAGTGCAGAGATGTGATAAAGGAAGATCTCAAAGAGAGAAGAGCAGAAATGCTGGTAGATGCAGCAGAAGCCAGGAAAAACATTCGTTAACTTCCGTCTGTCTTTTGCCAACTACAAGACCAAGATGACTGTCCTCAGACGTCCCGATGGATCTATCACATCTTCCAAAAGGGCAATGGAGAAGATTATCCATGACTTCTACTCAGATCTCTTCAATAGCCATGTCCACTTGCCAACATACCAAATTCCGCAGGATGGATATGTCGTTCCCAAAGTTCTTCCTTCCAAAATCCGACACACCATTTCGTCAGTAAAGAAACGAACAGCACCTGACCCAGACAAGGTCAGACCTGAACACTTGAAGAACTTGCCGTCAGTACTCATCAATACGCTGGCTCAGCTCTTCACATGCTACCTGTCTGAATGCAAGGTTCCATCCCAATGGAAAACCAGCAGGACTGTACTACTGTTCAAGAAGGGAGACATCCACGACATTGGCAACTATCACCCAATCTGCCTATTGTCTGTCATCTACAAGCTGTTCACTCAGGTATCCTGAATAGGATTGGCAGAACACTAGATGAAGGACAACCATGCGAGCAAGCCGGGTTCTGAAAAGGATTCAGCATCATCACCATATCCACACGATAACCAAGCTCATTGAGATTTCTCAGGAGTTCAAGATGCCGCTCTGTCTAACGTTCATTGATTTAAACAAGGCCTTTGATTCTGTTAAGACGGAAGCGGTCACTGAAGCCCTAGCCAATCAGGGCACTCAAACTCAATACATCAGGATCCTCCATGAGCTGTATTACGAATTCACTACCAGGATCTCACCATCCTACAAAGAAGTAATCATCCATGTCAAGAGAGGGGTTCGGCAGGTTGATACCATTTCACTGAAACTCTTCAGTGCCACCCTTGAGAACATCATGCGACGACTGGAATGGGAAGGAATGGGAGTGAAGATAGATGGCCGGCAACTACACCACCTCCACTTTGCTGATGACATCATTCTAATAACACCAAACGTTAGCCAAGCAGCACAAATGCTGGCCGACTTAGACCGTGAGTGTGGAAAGGTCGGACTACAGCTGAATCTCATGAAGACATTGTTTATGAGAAACAGCCTCATTCCTGACGCTCCATTCTCTCTCAATGGAATGACCATCTCCGAATGCAACAGTTATGTGTACCTAGGTCGAGAAGTCAACATGATGAATGACCTGGCACCTGAGTTGCGCAGGAGGAAGAGAGTGGCTTGGAATGCCTTCAAGAGCGTTGAAGAAATAGCTAAGAGGACGAAGAACCTCTGGCTCCGGGCACATCTCTTTGATTCCACTGTTTTTCCTGCATTAACATATGCCTTAGAGACCTGGGCCCTATGAAAAGAGGATGAGAATGCTGTTCAGGTCTCCCAAAAAGGAATCTAAAGAGCTATGCTTGGAGTATCACGCTTCACTCAAATGAGAGAATGAATCCGGAGTTCCGACCTCCGCAACGATCAAGAATCAGGGACACTGTCTCGTTTGCTAAGTCATCAAAAATCAGATGGGCTGGACACGTAATGAGATTTAAAGATGACCGCTGGACTAGAGCCATTACTGACTGGATTCCACAGGACGTCAAAAGACCGCGTGGCTGCCCACCTACCAGATGGTCAGACTTCTTCGTCAAGATCATGAACGATCGGTTTGAGGCTCTTCGTGTTCCTAGAACAAACAGATGCCATTGGGCTACACTAGCACGCAACAGGGACAAATGGAGACGTTACTGGCCCCCGCTCGAGCAAATCGATGAGTAACGGGAAGTCAAGTGATCAAGTGATCAAGTGAAGCCGTAGATAGTTCAACAGGATGGAAGTTTCTAGGTTTGATCTCTCGCACCTGATGATTTTCTTGCTCTGTCGGGAGCAATCGAGCACAGAGCAGAGAATAGAGTGGCCCCAAACCACCAAAAAAATAGGAAGTGTAATAATAATAAATTTTGTTATTAATGAAACTATTCCATTGTACCAATCACTGAGCTTAATTTTTTTAGTCAAGGACTTCTGGTTTCCTGGGCTGGTTGCTGGGCAGGGCAGTGGCCAAAGGGAAACTGGGGACATTGGTGGTGGGAAATGTACAACTGGGGTACATACAAATGTACACTGGTGAAGGGACGGGTGTTGGCACATTATATGACTGAAACTCAATCATGAATAACTTTATAACTGTGAATAACTCACTGTGATTCAATTGAAAAAATCAACATTTTTTTAAAAATTGAAAAAAAAAAGATTTACAAGGGATACCTGGTTTCTTATTCCAACAATGCACTGTGAAGTTTTATGAGTGTTCAAATCAGAGATAGTCATAAAATAAAAGCATTATTAGACATCTCATTTTATGAATCTAAAAAACACGGCTTTCTACAATGATATTATTCTAAAGAAATTTTTTAAAGAATTTTTGTGATGATTTATTTTTTCTTTTCTAGATGTGGTTACTCCAAATGGCCTGAGTGTTAAGAAATTTTCAGCCGTGCATGAGTTTCAAAATCTCCACGCCATGTACAAAGCCAAGATCCAAGATTTTGTTCGAGGTCATTTTTATGGGTATGCTACTCTTTAAATACGCACACAAAAACATTGCCATGTGATTTTAGGAATTTCTGGTGTAGAGAAACAGGTAAATGTTTATCTTCCCTCCCCTTCTGGACTTGAAGGGGATTCACTTGTACAATTTGTTGCTGGCTCTCTGTTTCTCCTGAAACTGTTTTGCTTTGTTTTTTTTTTTTAGTCATCTGGACTTTGATCTGGAAAAGACTTTGTTCCTTTTCATTGCTGGGAGGTATGAGTTTTCAAACAAAGGAGCTGACATCTTCCTGGAATCTTTATCCAGGCTCAATTTCCTGCTGAGGGTAAGAAAACTCCAGAACCTAAGACCCGGCTTTTATAAAGGACTTTCTTCCACCAAAGTGAAGAACTTTCTGGCATCTTAAATAGTTCCTAAGCATGTATATGGCTGTGAAGAGTTAAAGTGGCCACAGTCCTTCTCTGTTCACATGGAGGTTGTCACATTGTTCAGTTGTATATTATGTTGCCAGGGTTTTATTTTTTAAATTTTTTTAATTTTTTGCTTTTTGGGTCACACCTGGTGATGCACAGGGGTTACTCCTGGCTCTGCACTCAGGAGTTACTCCTGGCGGTGCTCAGGGGACCATATGGGATGCTGGGAATCGAACCCGGGTCGGCCACGTGCAAGGCAAACGCCCTACCTGCTGTGCTATCGCTCCAGCCCCGTCAGGGTTTTATTTTTGAGAGCCATAAGCTTATTGATGATATCTGCTCTTTTAAAAGATGACATAATAACATTCCCTCACCTTAGACCACAAGATCTTGTACCCAGTTGAAAGATAACAGAACGCTAGCAAACAGACAACAAAATTTCACCTTTTCAAAACACAGTAATGATATGGAATGAGGTGGTCTCATGCAGATGTAGTACATGGGTAGAAGTCTTCTTAACACAGTACCATGCTATTACACGTATTTTTCTCTCCCACCGTTCCTGTCCTCCATGGGCATAAGACAGGCCTTCGGGGAAGCACATACCATCGTGGCTGAGAGTCAGATATTCTCATGGGCCTGGGCAGACACAGACGGACTCTGTTCATCTCCCAAGTCACCAACCACATCTCCTCCAGAAACTAGGTGCTTCACTCCCTGATCACGGTATGGTAAGGAAGATGTGATTTTTAATAAGCTTCTAGTTAATCCAGACAGCATACACGTGCACAGACACACACACACACACACACACACACACACACACGCATGCACACACACTCGCACACACACGCACGCACACACACTCACACACACACACACACACTAAGTCCACAGAAATAACTAGAAAATAGCCATGTTACACATGTAGGTTAAAGGTATTGGTTTATACTAACATAAGGATGTACAATAAATAATAAAATACTGCAGGTCAGTGTAAAATTTTAATGTTAGTGAAATACTGAGGCTATCTGTCACTGTCACTGTCACTGTCCTCCCGTTGTTCATCATTTTCCTCCAGCAGGCCCAGTAATATCTCTATTGTGACACTTGTTACAGTGTTTGGCATTTCACTGTGGATTTAAATTTAGATGTACACAAAAAGCCAGTTAACTCTCATTTTAGGCACTGAGGGCCCTTACAGCACTTGCAGAAGCTACAGATTGTACTTGAATTGTTTTGACTGCATTTTGGCTGCCACTGGGATGGGTTTCCTGTTCTAAAACTTTCATACAATTTTGTTTTCAAAAGAGAATGTCAAACCATAGAGTGCAAAGTCCACAGATAAAATGCACTCTGTAGATGGTCATTTCCAGAATATGTGAGCATTCATACGTTCATGTTCACAGGTTTTTTTTTTTTGCTTTTTGGGTCATACCCGGCGATGCTCAGGGGTTACTCCTGGCTCATGCACTTAGGAATTGCTCCTGGAGGTGCTCTGGGGACCGTATGGGATGCTGGGAATCGTGTTGGCCATGTTGGCTGAGTGCAAGGCAAACGCCCTACCCACTGTGCTATCACTCCAGCCCCCCATGTTCACAGTTTTACGTGCATTAATTTCTTTGTTCCTACAGCAGCTTGATGTCATTTTCTTCTGAGAAATGTGGATCATCAGTATTTGCAGGAAGAGTAAAATAAAGCATAGGATTTATTTTAATTTATTTGCGGGGGGGGGGGGGGAGGTGTCGGAGGGTGGAGGTATGGTTTTGAGCACACCCAGCTGTGCTCAGGGCTTGGGAGACCATATGGGTTGACAGGGATTAAACCTGGGTCGGCCTCATGCAAGGCAAACACCTCAACTGCTGTACTATTGCTCTGACCCTAAGGAGTAAGAATATACCAGCTTGTGTTCCAGCTTTACAAAGAGCCTGTTATAGGTGTTCAGAGAAAATGTGGAGCCACTCCTGACTTCTTCGACATTAGAAGTGAGAAGACTAAAGGCAACAGTACATGGTTTTTAAGAGGATTGGGTCCCCTCCGGGTTTAAATCATCTGGACAGTGGCTGCCACAACAAAGCTCTTTAGCATACATTTTTTCTCTTTAAAACATTTTTATTTAACACTGCGGTTTACAGAGTTGTTCATAATGTCATTATTTCAGGCATTCAGTGTTCCAATAGTAGTCTCCACCATTGTGACATTAGGACTCAAAAGACAAAATGCTACGAGCATAAAGATGTTTAAGTAAAAATGTAAATGATCTATCTGTGCAAATCAGTGTGAATCCGTTAGGAAAAATAGAGCAAACCAAAAGCAAACCCTCCTTTAATTGGCAATCTAAAAACTGAAAGAACTGATTTTGGTCTTGTTCTAGATTAGTTCCAATTTGTTTCCCTTTTTATAAACCCTAGAAAATCACTGACATCAGTAGCGATTCTAAGATATCTTAGGTAATTAATTCTGGGAAATAAATTTTAGGTCTGGAATTTGAATTTCTTGGAAAGATCTTGATTGAAATCCAGATTTAACTTAGTAATTCTGAAAAGAAATCTGTAGCAAGTGGGGTGTAATTTCTCTGTGAATCATAAATATTCTTTTTCATTCAAAAATATTTACAAACACCATATTTGGGTTTATTTGGGTTTATTTGTGATCCATTTTAAAAATTTTCTCTTGGATAACTGATTCTGTTGTGTTTTCTGATTCCTCGTTAGATGCATAAAAATGACGTCACAGTGGTGGTGTTTTTTATTATGCCTGCCAAGACAAATAATTTCAATGTGGAAACCCTGAAAGGCCAGGCAGTACGCAAACAGCTATGGTAATGGCACATTTTGTAAACGTTCTCTAGCAGAGAATGGGAAGGACTGTTTCTTACAGGAATGACTTCTGATATAGCTCTTTAATTTGCTCCCCGCTCCAAGACTGTTACCACACAAATACTCCTGGGTTCTCTTCTCAATAGACAGTGATGATCTAATGCCTTATAAGACAATGTTACTAAAGAAATGGAAATGACCTAACATGAAAGGATAAGGCCACTGTAAAAATCTTTATTTTTTAATTTTACTTATTTTAAAATGATTGGTTATTGAGCCTGTGATTTGTAATATTATTAATAATGGTCTTGCATGCACATAATTCCAACACGGTGGGTGGTATTCTTAATTCATTGTGGAAATCTGAAAACAGATGTCAAAGCAAGGAGATTAGTATAACTCCCTCCATGCTCCAACCCATCCAGCCATTATCAGTCAATTCCAGTCTTGTTATGTCTGTGCCTTCATCTGTTCACCCTCCCATCTTAAACTCTCCCCTGATCAAGCCCCCCGCGACCCCCTGTTAATCCATCCAGAGTGTCCCACTGTCTTTGCTCTGACAAGACAGTGGGTCGAAAAGACAAAGATTGAAACTGAGCTTGAACTCAATCAAATCTGAACTGAAGGCAAACAGGAAAACATTCCAAGTGACTATGCGAAAGAGATCGGGGCTGTCCACGAATGTAGCAGCATTTTCATAGTTAATACACTTTAAGGTGTGCTCCTGTTTCTGTTGTAAACCCTTCTCTTTGTACAGGGACACTGCACATACCTTGAAGGAAAAGTTTGGGAAGAAGCTCTATGATGCATTATTAAGGTAGGCGCAGGGATCTCACGGTATAGACACTCTGATGTAAATAAATTTGGTTCCAAATACTAAGAAATTTATGGTCTTTGGAGGTGCCTCACATCATGTGAACTCGCTTCCTTTCCTCCCTTTCTTTCTGTCTGACAAGTGGTTGTAAATAGTTGCCAGGAAATATTTGTATGTGCAGACAGATTCGAATTCAGGGAAAATCTTGTTAATGGTTAATATTTCCTGCGGGTTATTTCAAGTTAAATATTCCTTGATTCTTATATATAATATTTATATTAATACCATTTGTGAATAGTATTTACTAACTAAATTAGTTAGTATTTACTAACTAAATAGCAAACTTTGTTCATTAAAATAAAGATACGTGTATAAATAAAATTTATGAATAAAATATAAATAATTAAATCAAATAATAATGTATTATAACAATGATTCATAATCTGTGACTTTAGAGAGCTTGTTTTGGTTCCTGGCCCAGGGGACTGGTATATGTCTTTCTTTTACTTGTAAAAATAACTTATAGATGGACAGCTATAGCTCCTTCAGAACAGAGCCCTCAGTAATTAGGAGAATATCATGCGAGAGTCCCCCTGATGGTCAATATCAATACTTTAAAATTGAATTTCAAGGGGCTGGAGTGACAGCACACTGGGTAGGGCATTTGCCTTGCACGCGGCCAACCTGGGTTCGAATTCCGGCATCCCATATTGTCCCCTGAGCACCACCAGGAGTAATTCCTGAGTGCAGAGCCAGGAGTAACCCCTGAGTATTGCCGGGTGTGACCCAAAAAAGCAAAAAAAAATAATAAATAAATAAAATTGAATTTCAAGGGGCCAGAGAGATAGTCCAGCATGTAGGGCTTTATACCCAGCTGATCTGGGTTCTATTCCCAGCAAGGCATGTGATCCCCTGAGCACAGAGCCAGGAGTAAGTCCTGAGTACTACCAGGTGTGGTCCAAAAACCAAATAATATAATAATAATAATAAATAATTAAAATTAATTTCTTTTTTTTTTCATTCTGTCAAATGTGGTTTTTTAATCAAACTTCTTTATACTTAGGGAGTTTTTGAATTTCATTAGAAAACTATGTTGGCTTATACATATTTTTAAAGTGCTTGAAATGATCTCTGATACCCCGTTAGGGAACACTCAGCTAGTTTTTAAAAGAATTTGTTCTTAAGATTCTTTTCCCCACAGAGGAGAAGTCCCTGACATGAACAATATTTTGGATCGAGATGATCTAACAATTATGAAAAGAGCCATCTTTTCAACTCAGGTAATAATGGCAGAAGTGTCCACCTCCTCCATTAATAGTTAAATTTATTTTAAACCATCATTTTGATGTATTGAAAGGAACTAATTTGGGACATTTTTAAACCTTGAATAAGAACAGGAGCTTTTAAAATATTCACCTGAATTACAGCTTTATATGAGTGGTTTTCAGAACTTCTGTTTAAGAATCTCATAAAATTTATCTTTACATATAAAATTTCTATGATTACCAAGGTAAATACATATATGAAATATATAATATATATGCATTTTATATTGGTATAATATAGTATTGGTATAATATTGGTATATTGGTATAATATTGGTATAATTGGTATAATAAAGGTAATGGTAAAGGCCCTCCCGTTGATCGTCGATTTGCTCGAGCGGGCCCAGTAACGTCTCCATTGGAGACTTTGTTGTTACTGTGTCTGGCATATCGAATACTCTCGGTAGCTTGCCAGGCTCTCTGAGAGGGGCGGAGGAATCGAACTCGGGTCGGCCATGTTGGCCGCTTGTAAGGCGAACGCCCTACCCGCTGTGCTATCGCTCCAGCCCAATTGGTATAATATTGGTATAATATTTATATTGGTATAATGTATAATATATATACATTTTACATTTTATACATTTTATATTTCATTCCTAAACTTTTCAAAAAGCATTATAGCACTGTAGCACTGTCCTCCCGTTGTTCATCGACTTGCTCCAGTGGGCCCAGTAACGTCTCCATTTGCAAAAAATGTGTTTCTCAGTCACATGTAATTATGACCCCAAAAGAGTGGCAAATGCTCTTTTTTTTCCCCTCTCTTTTCGGGTCACACTGGTGATGCACAGGGTTTACTCCTGGCTCCGCACTCAGGAATCACTCCTGGCTGTGCTGGGAGGGTGGACCATTTGGGATGCAGGTTGGCCGCATGCAAGGCCAACGTCTTACCCGCTGTGCTATATGGCTCCAGCCTCCAGCCCGCTCTTGAACGTTTGCTTGGAACTAACCTGGGATGAACCAGGCATTAGAGCAGAACTGCAAAGGGGAACCAGGAGCAACCCCATCCTGAGCCCCACACTCTGACTCCTGCGGGCCGCTTAAGTCCCAGAAGCAGTGAGCAGCCTGGGCATCCCGGGCAGTGGCTAAGGTGGGGAGGCAACGCCTCCCTCCCGTGGGGGCTGTATTCAGAGTTCTCCAACCCTGGTCCCTGGTGTGGTCCCTGCTTTCTTGAGACAACAGTGGGGCAGGGGCCACGCCGCCTTTGAGCCGTGGGTGAGGTGAGCCACACCCCGACTGTCCTCTCCTCTCTGGTTGCAGCGGCATTCCCTGCCTCCCGTGACCACCCACAACATGATCGACGACTCCACCGACCCCATCCTCAGCACCATCCGCCGCATCGGGCTGTTCAACAGCCGCACGGACAGAGTCAAGGTAGGAGCCGGGCAGGGCGGGCACTTCCGAGTGACACGGAATATGCTTATTTACTTATTTTCCTGGCATTGCTCTGGGGCTATTCCTGGCGATGTGCTGTCCACTTCTAACCCCCCACCCCATCACACACACACACACACACACACACACACACACACACACACACAGCACTTTCCGTGTGCAAAGCCTGGGCTCCAGCCCTTTGCTCAAATTCACCCGCCCCTCCATTGTGTCGTTTTTGGGGAGCAGGCTTCCTTACAGATTCCAACTGTGTTTTCCAAAGTGTGTTCAACCACCCTGGGGAGAGTGAGTTGGAACCATCCAGGGCAGAGGTAGGAACTGCAGGAGAAAGTAGAGGGAAGGGACATTATTTTGCTTATTCACTTGAAAGGAGATTTCCTGAGGACACAGAATAATGTTTTTCTGAAGAGGGTGTGGTCTGCCACAGAAGTTCAGGAATCTATGTTGACATCTGCTTAGAACATTTCAAATGGTATTTCTAAAGAAAAGGAGTTCTTGGGCTAGAGAAAGGACTCAGTAGGTTGAATGTGGGCTCTGCACACAGGCGGTCTGGGTTTGATCTCTGGGACCACGTGGCAAGTCATGAATAGAGCTAGGATAGTCCCTAAACACTGCCTCCAAACAGCAACAATAGAAAATTAATTCTTTCCTGACTTCGGTAATGTATGTCCAATAACTATTTTAGTAACATTCTTGAAAACTGAAGAATACTTATGAGTCTGAGTCATAATTTTAGCATGATTTTCTTTGCCTCTTACAGCCAGCATAAATATTTTCTTTGCATCTTACTAGTAGCAAGCATAAAGAGATGTCCTAAATTTTTATGATCCAAATATATTCTTGAAATATTTGAATGAGTGAGTCTCCAAGATGAACATGAATGTTTCCTGCTAAAATTCAATCTACAGGGATAAGAGGGGAAGTTTCCAGTTTCAGAGAAGGTGGCTGAGGATGCTTTAGTATAATTTTCTCTGGACCGGTTCATTCTTCTGATCTGAGTGTTAGATTAACGAGGCACAGCATCAGCTGTGGGAGTGAAACGGCTTTTGCTACTGTGGAACTTCATTTCTGTGTTTACTAAGAGCCTTGTCTGTTCTGGGCACGGGACTAGGGCCAATTGACAAATGTTTTATTTATTTATTTATTTATTTATTTATGTATTTATTTTAAAATGTAAAGGCCCTCCCGTTGATCGTCGATTTGCTCGAGCGGGCCCAGTAACGTCTCCATTGGAGACTTTGTTGTTACTGTGTCTGGCATATACGAATACTCTCGGTAGCTTGCCGGGCTCTCCAAGAGGGTATTTATTTATTTTTGGGTCACACCTAGGGATGTTCAGGGTTTACTCCTGGCTTTGCACTCAGGAATTACTCCTGGCGGTGCTCTGGGAACCATATGGGATGCTGGGAATCAAACCTGGGTCGGCCACGTGCAAAGCAAATGCCCTACCCACTGTGCTATCTCTCCAGCCCCCAGAAAAATGTTTTAGTATCAGCAAATTCTTTATCCCTGCTCAATTATATTCACTAGAATTTAAGACCAAAGAGTCTTAAAGTTGTAGCAATTTTGCACCCACCTCTCACTTTTTCCTTCTTTCTTTCCCTCTCTATATTTATTTATTTATTTGCTTTTTGGGTCACACCTGGTGATGCACAGGGGTTACTCCTGGTTCTGCACTCAAGAATTACTCCTGGCACTGCTCAGGGAACTATACAGGATGCTGGGAATCGAACCCGGGCCGGCTGCGTGCAAGGCAAATGCCCTACCCGCTGTGCTATGCCTCCAGCCTCTCTTCCCCCCCCCCCCCCCCCCCTTTTCATTGACTCTCTCATCAAGACGGAGTTGTGGATTCCTTCACTGTCCATCCAATAGAGAGTTGCTGGGGGCACACTGTTGGGGCCATACCTGGCAGTGCTCTGGGAACTACTCTTGGTTCTGTAGAACCAGTCCAGGGATTGTGCCTGGTGGCGCTCAGATAACCATGCGGTGTTGGGAACTAAACCCAGGTCTCTTGCCTGTAAAGCACGTGCTCAGTCTTTTGAGCTATAGAGATTTTTTATTTTTTGCCGTTTTCAAAAAATGGAACCCCCACGAATTACAAAATTACAAATGTGATCAGGACTGAGTTTCAGGTATACAATACTGCAACACCTATCCCTTCCCCAGTGTCTATTCCCTCCCCAGTGTCTCCAGTTACCCTCTCGCCCCCAGCCTGCCTCTGCAGTCGGCACTTTATACCTCCTTTCAGCACTCTTTTCTTTTCCAGAGCGACCACTTCCTTCCACCAATGTCCTAATGTAGCTTTCCCCAGTGGCCAGCTTCCAACTGGACACAGGTTCTCTTCATCTTTGTTCCTATTGCCTTTGGGCGTTTATTATTCCTCTACTATGTTTTTTTTTCCTATCCCATATAAGAGACAGATCATTTTGTATTTTGGCATACTCTTTTTTTTCCAAGTTCTAAGGGCTGTTTGGGGACCCCGTTCTCTCCCACATTTTGGTAGGAACTTGCTCTTCCTACTTTACGACTCTTTGATGATGTGGATTTACTCAGTCCTTCCCACGAGATTTACCCATGTTGTTTACATTTCTCCACATGGAAAAAACACAGTTTACTTCCATCCTATCTTCTTTAAGCAGGTTTTTTTAAAAAAATATTTCTGCTTTTTCTTTTCTTCTCTGTCAAAAAGTTTGGGGACCAAATTGTCTATTTTGAAAATTTGTTTGTCATTGGGCTGGAGAGATAGCACAGAGGGTAGGGCGTTTGTTTTGTATGCGGCGGACTCGAGTTCGATTCCCAGCATCCCATATGGTCCCCTGAGCACCGCCAGGAGTAATTTCTGAGTGCATGAGCTAGGAGTAACCCCTGTGCACCGCCTGGTGTGACCCGAAAAGCAAAAAAAAAAAAAAGATTCGTTCGTCATCTTCTGTTTTGCCCTTGATCTAGACATCCTCTGAGAAACAGACTCAGAGAGGACTGGACAGGAACATCCTTGGTGAAGGACACGGCAAACGCAAGCAGGAGCTGGCAGGGAGGGGCAGTCAGATGAGAGGGGTGGGTCGGGATGGGGCCCAGAGGTGGCTCGAGGAGTTGGGACTCAGCTTGACCCCTAATCTCCCTCACTGCCCTGTCCCCCGAGCACCATGCTGGATTGACCTCAAAAACTCAAAGGAGGAAAAGACAGCCACAGGCTGTGACCCAGTTCCCCCAAATATCATACTTAAAAAAAAATTTTTTTTGCCTTTTTGGGTCACACCCAGCCGATGCTCAGGAGTTACTCCTTGGCTCTGCACTCAGGAATTACTTCTGGCAGTGGTCAGGGAACCATATGGGATGCTGGGAATCAAACCTGGGTCGGCCACATGCTAAGCAAATGCCCTACCCACTGTGCTACCACTCCAGCCCCTGGAAAAATGTTTTAGTAGCAGCAAATTCTTTATCACTGCTCAATTCTATCCACTAGAATTTAAGACCAGAGTGTCTTAAAGTTGTAGCAATTTTGCACCCATCTCTCACTTTTTCTTCTCTCTTTCCCTCTATATATTTATTTATTTATTTGCTTTTTGGGTCACACCTGGTGATGCACAGGGATTACTCCTGGTTCTGCACTCAACAATTACTCCTGGCAGTGCTCAGGGGACCGTATGAGATGTTGGGAATCAAACTTGGGTAGGCTGCGTGCAAGGCAAACGCCCTACCCACTGTGCTGTCGCTCCAGCCCCTGATTGTTTTCTTTCTTTCTTTTTTTGGGGGGTCACACTCGGCAATGCACAGGGATTACTCCTGGCTCTGAACTCAGGAATTACTCCTGGCAGTGCTCAGGGGATCATATGGGATGCTGGAACTCGAACCCGGATCGGGCACATGCAAGGCAAATGCCCTACCCTCTGTGCTATGACTCCAGTTCCATGATTGTTTTCTTAAACAAATAAAAACATAATAAATTTTAGAAGAGTACCCATTTTTAAAACAATATACATTTGAACAACTGAAATAAAAGTTATTTTGGATTAAGTATTTCATTAAAATCGCATCTTCTAAAAGCTTGACTAAAATTCGAAGAGCTACTACAGCGGGTAAGACATTTGCCCTGCATGTCACCAACTTGGTTTGACCCCTAGCACCACGTGCATGAACTCTGCCAGGAGTGATCCCTGAGCACAGAGCCAGCAGTGAGCCCAGAGCACCATCAGGTATGGCCCAAAACCAAACAAACAAAAATTCATAAAAATTTAAAAATTCAAAGAAGAAGAAAATAAAAGTTTGACTAACTCGGGATCTGTTCCTGTGAGTGCATGTTTGGTCGCTTGTGCAGTTACAGAATACTGAAGAATCATGCTTCCATGGTTCTCATTGTGGAAGAGTGACGCGGTTTTCTCTGCTCGTGGCCATTTGACTGAGCACAACAGTTGATTTTGAATTTCAAATAATCTTGTATCCTGCCTTGACTGTGTGGTAGGGAGAGGAACGTGTGCTCTGCAGATTCCAGGTCACTGTGAAATCAGCTAGCTTCTTGGTTGAACACAGTTAGACAAGGGTTGTTGTGTTTACTTGTTTTCCCCTACTGATCCAGAGTCCACTGTGAGCAAGCATGTGTGTGTGTGTGTGTGTGTGTTTCTGTGTCTGCGTGATTGTGTCTTTTTTGTTTGTGTGTCTCTGTGTGTATTGTGAGAGAGAGACAGAGAGGAGAGAGAAAGAGAGAGAACAAAGAGAGAGAGAAGAGTGAATGAGAGAGAACAGAGAAAGAATGGAAAAGAAGAGAGAGACGAGAGAGTGGAGAGAGAAAGAAAAAGAGAGAAAGAGAGAGAGAGTTGTGCGTGTGTGTTTGGGAAGCAACTTATCATTGTATAAGGTCTCGCTGGATTCTCTCTCTAACCTTGGGCTGACCTCTGCTAGTTTTTCATTCACCCCCGGGGGCCCCTGTGATTGTCTGCATTCGGGCCTAGAGCAGCTGCTTTCTTATTTTAGCTTTGCTGTCA